GACTTGTGGACTTCAACTCCCAGAATTCCTCAGCCAGCATGGGGGGAACTATGGCCCCTTCGTGACTTGTGGACTTCAACTCCCAGAATTCCTCAGCCAGCATGAGGGAACTATGGCCCCTACGTGATTTGTGGACTTCAACTCCCAGAATTCCTCAGCCAGCATGGGGGAACTATGGCCCCTACGTGATTTGTGGACTTCAACTCCCAGAATTCCTCAGCCAGCATGGGGGGAACTATGGCCCCTACGTGACTTGTGGACTTCAACTCCCAGAATTCCTCCGCCAGCATGGGGGGAACTATGGCCCCCTTCGTGACTTGTGGACTTCAACTCCCAGAATTCCTCAGCCAGGCGTGCCTGGCTGAGGAATTCTGGGAGTTGAAGTCCACAAGTCATAAAAGGGCCCAGTTTGAAGACCCCTGATCAGGAGATTCAAAGGAGTATAAACATTTCTTGCTCAAGCTTCAGTTCTCTACAAGAATCTGCCGGAGTGACCATTAAGGGAAAATGCATAGGAATTAAAAATATAAAGGAATTCAAGGTGGGCTGGATTTCAATCTCTTGTGGGTGCGAAGGGATCCGTGATGTACGACACGTTCCCTCGGGATCAGCCTGCTCATCTCCTAACCAACGTTGTACGAAGAATGGAAGAAATGGACACCAACCTCCGATGGCATCTATCTCGTCGAAGAAAATGAGGCAGGCCTTTTTCGTCCTCGCCATTTCAAACAGCTCCCGGACCATCCGGGCTCCCTAAAAAACCAAAGAGGAGGAAAACGTGGCTAATTTTTCCCCTTCTGCGCCCCGATCTCTGACACCCTTTAAAATGTCCAAAAGCAGATCCTACATTGGTCTACTTGAACCTGGGACAGAATAGCCCGAGATCAAAAATCATTTAAAAATACATTAAAGCTGTGTTAGTTGCAGATGTTTCCGCATCCGTCGTGAAGATCGTCGACAAAGTTGAAAGGGACCTCGGAGGTCTTCTAGTCCAACCCCCTGCTCAAGCAGGAGACCCTATACCAGGGGTAGTCAACCTTGGCTCTTTTATTACTCGTGGACTTCAACTCCCAGAATTCCTCAGCCAGCATGGCTCAGCTTGGAAACCTCTCCCTTTTCCCTCAGCACAGCTGGCTCAGGAATTCTGGGAGTTGAAGTCCACCAGTCATGAAAGGGCCAAATGCCTGAATTTTGATCACGTGACCGTGAGGAAAAAATATTTAAATATTTAAGCCAGGGGTTTTCAAACATGGCCCTTTTATGACTGGTGGACTTCAACTAATTTGGTTTTAAAATAATTTTAAAAAGAAAAGGCCAATAGTTTAATATTCTATTTTAATTACATTTTAAATTTAGTATTTTGTATTTGTACCTGTTTTAGATGGCTGTAAGCCGCCCTGAGTCCGCTGGGAGAAGGGCGGGGTAGAAATTTAATAAATAAATAAATAAATAAAATAAATAAACTCCCAGAATTTCTGAGCCAGCATGGAGGAACTATGGCCCCTCATGGCTTGTGGATTTCAACTCCCAGAATTCCTGAGCCAGCATGGCTTAGCATGGAAATCTCTCCCTTTCCCCTCAGCGTGGCTGGCTCAGGAATTCTGGGAGTTGAAGTCCACCCCTCTTCAAGCCGGCCAGGTTGAGAAAGGCTGATCTAGAGAGTAACCAAGCACGAAAGCCACAGAATCCAGCTTGCAAGCTGTTCCTGGAGGTGATCCCCTACCTCTCCCACGTATTTCTGCACCAGCTCGGACCCGATCACTCGGATGAAGCAAGCGTCCGTCCTGTTCGCCACAGCTCGGGCACAAAGAGTTTTGCCTGTCCCAGGTGGGCCAAAGAGGAGAACTCCTTTGGGGGGCTCGATCCCGAGATTGACAAACCGTTCCGGCTGCAAATCATAGGGGGGGGGG